CAGTTCCTACTATCTCTGTCTCAGCCTATCCAGTCTATTTTCATATTTATATTTTTATATCATTTTCCAGTCCTATTAGAATGTATTAACATTTCTTTGCCTTCCTTTGGGAGGGCTGCCTAACCTGCTGATTGCATTCAGTATTTAATGGGTGAAGATTGCAAATTGCCTTTCGACCCCTCCTCCTTCCCATTTCCAATTTGCCAATGAGGCCCAACACCAGAAGCCATTCTGTTCTATTTGCTTCAGCCCCTCTGTAAGTGCAGATGGTGCCCCTTGATTTGCCAGTTGGCTTTTCAGGTCTTAGGCAGAGAGGAAGCCTTAATGCCCACTGTAGACAGTGGGGTATTGCAAGTTGGGCAGTGCCCAAAGAACAAAATTGGGTTTGAACAGTTTCTCGAGGTAGAAAGCTCAGACAGGAATGGAAGAAAATTAAAACACAGATTTTTTCGAGACACGGGAATAATGTTTCACAAAAGCTCGCTTCTGGAGAATGCAATCTCTTTATTCAGTTATTGGCAGGAACACGATGAGACGTTCCAACACTTAAAGTGCTTGCTTGAAATGCTTCTGTCAGTGAAGATCCATCTGCACAGCGTCAGGTTTTTAAGCCACTCTGGGGTTCAAAGGCTTGATGTAATGTGACTGCAGCTCTGATAGCTGGCAATCCATGCAACTGCTTTCCCCAACTGGACTCTCGCTCCGTCCAAAATCTCTCAGTCCCTTCTCAGTACCTGTGGGTGGCCGTGGATTTGTGCCAAGACTGTGGTGGTCCAGCTGCAGCGTCTGAGCGAAGAAGTGTTCGAGGAAGGTCTGATGGGGTTGAAATGGAAACGAGACATTCTGGGATTTCTCTCCTTGGAATCGAGAAAGTCAAGGAGCGATTTGATAGCAATTTTGAAAGTTCAGATGTGTTTGTATACAGAAAGTAAAGAGAAAACATTTCCACCAACAGAAGGATGAGAGTCAAAAGAGTTTTTAAAAAAGCAGTTGCAGAAAAGGCCATTCAGTCCATCCTGTCTGTGCTAGCCATCCAGCATCAATTCTAATCTCACTTTCCAGTACTTGGTCTATAGCCTCGTACTATTTCTAACCAGCCTGTTCAGTGATGTTATTACATCACTGGAGCAGATGGAACTTGAACCTGGGTCTCTCTTTTCAGGGGTAGGGACACTGCCACTGTGCCACAAGAGGACCCCTCCAGTAGCTTTGAATGCTGTAGCATTTCAAGTGCTCATCTAAATGTCCTACCGATTTCTGCCTCTTACTACCCTTTCAGGTAATGAATTTCAGATACCCCCTGCTTCCAGCTTCTTAAAACTTTACCCCATGGTTACATCTCTCCACAAAGGGGAAAGGTTTCTCCCTATCAATGCTCCTCATAGCTTGCACACCTTAATCAGTCC